ATAAAATACGTTTAAAATATAATAAAACAATGATTAAATCAAGAATATAAACATTCATATATATATATATATATATATATATATAAATGAAGATATATAAAAGATTCTATTCGGGTTTGGTTAATTCGGTTTATAAAAAATTATAACCTAACGGTTAATAATTTTTAATCGGGTCAATTCGATTCGGTTCGGTTCGGATTAGGTTATTTTGGGTTTTGAAAAATCATAAACAATCAGTTATTGGACTCGATTCGGTTAATAACCGAAATACCTTTATTCGGATCAGTTCGGTTAAATTAACCGAACCGAATGCCCACCCTAGTTATGGTTTTCTCTGTATATCTCTCTATCCGAGAAAAAAAATTCAAACAATTTTCTCCTTTCTTCCATGACGAAGAACCACAACGACCGTAGAAAGGAAACGAGTTAGAAAGTGATGGCGATGATTATGTTTCAAAACCTTAATCGAAGATGATGAACAGTAAATTTTTAGCAGATTTGGTCCAATTAAATAAAACCCGATTTAGTCCGGTTCATCAAAACTCGTTTAATATTTTCGATTCTGCATATGCAAAAAATCTGACATGTCACTAAACACTAAGATAATATTTAACACTTTAATTAGTCAACATCGGTCAAAATGTGCCATGACCCTATTTCAAAGATTCGGAATTCATATTTCCATATTTCTCAACTTCGGAAATTATTATTCCAACGTACTAGTTTAGAAATTTATTTTTCTCCAATTATCCAGTTCGGAAAGTTCGGAAATTTTTAAGGGTTTATACCTTAAATCAACTACTATTATTAAAACCATAATATTCAAAGAGAATAAAGTTTCCATTATAATGCCACAATTTCTTGAATCAAAAAGGGCCAAAGTGGTGGCTTCTTTACCTATCAAAATTCACAAAAGAGTAAGGAAGGGTTCATCCTTCAAGCATGGCCTTGGCTGCATCAAGAAGTGTCGGTCTGAAATCGGCCGAAGCTCGGCCGAGCACAGTGTAACCTTCCTTGTCTTCCACGTCAACATCTGCTCCATGTCTTATCAACAGCAAAGCTACCTGTTGTCCATGGCGGAATCCATATATCGTCATTAATAAAGAAGAAAAGCAACCCAGAAGAAATGGGAGTGTAAAATCCATCAATCACCTCTTTGTGAAAACAGATCACTGAATGCATTAGAGGGGTTTGCCCTGCTTTGTCAGTAGCATCGATATCTGCACCTTCTTCAATCAGAAGTTCACAAACTTCCGACTTACCCGTGCTTGCTGCCCTGTGTAGCGGCGTGCAACCGACCTGGCGTGATTTTCCAAAAAAGAAAACAAGGGTGGTGTAAATAGGAGAGTTAGTGCCAGTTAAAGAGCGAAGAGAAACAAGGTACAAGCCTTGTCGGTGATGTTAATCTTTGCACCGTGTGATAACAGAAGCTGAACGATTTTCAGCCATCCTTTGCTTGCAGCATAGTGCAGGGCAGTCCGACCGCCATCGTTCTTGAGATTCACATCAGCCCCTGTTCTCCAAAAAAAGAAAGGAACAACAGAGATTGGTTGCCTCTATTTTGGCTTTTTTCACATTTGAGATGTTCAAGTCAGTCGATAAAGTGCATATGTAGGACAGAGTATAACATTTTCTCTCGTATGCTGCATTGTAAATGCTTGCTTCTAAGGAGTAACGAACTGAAAGGAGTTATTCATTAGAAGACGTAACACACAAAACCAACTTCAAATCGAAACTCAAATACATCATCACTTGATAATTCACATGCTAGTACACACTTAGGGCTTTCTCTTTCTCGATGTAGTTTTCTTTGTAGTTCAAGTAAGCTGGGTATAAAATTATAAACCCCATCTGATAAGGAGGAAGACGATGATTTCACCACCACCAGAAATACCAAGTAAGATGCAACAAAAGCGTGAGTAGGACCCCAATTCTACCGCGTGAATGCAAATGCAAACGCAGAATTCAAGAACCAAGAAAACAAACAAGGATGCATACCCCTGCTCAATAATATGTCAACGAGCTCGGTATTGCCGATGCTAGCAGCGGAATGTAGAGGGGCCCATCCTTCCTCATCCTTGCTGTTGACTACACTCTTCGATTCATCCGCATCTGAGAGTAACTTCACTACCTGTGTTTTACTGCCATGAGCTGATCTACTATAACAATAAAACTCTCAGAGATAACAGACCTAAACTCTAAATTCTGAACCATAAATCGGCTAACTTGCAAATCTATCTAGTCTAGTTTTGGGCCATACACCCAAAAACAAAACGAACTGCATATGAACAAGAGTCAGCCAAGAAGATGATGAGCCCAAAAACCAACATTTTATGATACTTTCTAACAAATCAAGGGACTAAGAAGCTGAGCTGATACGCATTTTCTAATGCAACGATGAAACGAAGACAACAATTTCCTGCAGTTTCCAGTTTCCGCCACCATACGAAGCAGATGATGCAGCAACCACAGAGCAACTCAACGCCAAACAATGAACCTCACTCCCGAATTCCCTCAACAGATTGGGATGCGACCTAACTAAAACTTTACAGATTAGTGATGAGAAACCATTTCCTAGGGACTCTTGACGACCAAACCAATAGCGCATGTTTCAACGGGACAGACCTCAGGGTGAGAGAAGGAGACGGCAACATGAAGGAGAGAGCGACCGTCGTCATCTCTGAGAGACAGAGATTTCGAGATCTGTTCCGGCGAAAGAGAGCGGAAAACAGAAGAATCTCCGGATTCCGCCGCTTTGAAGAGATCACTGTCTCTGACCGGCGTCGGAGCGTCGATTTCCATTTCCATGGGGCTTACCCGTAGAGCAGGGCACAGTCGAACTCGGAATAGAAGAAAGGAGAGGCGAGGGAGAAGATATCAAGCCCTAGGCCCTAAAACGACATCGTTTTCAGCTCACAACGCATAACTTGGATGCTTGAAGGAGATTTAATTGGAAAATCTTCTTTCATTCTGCTTTTTAACGTCTCCAAACTTGCACCTGTTGTCGAAAACAAACATTCCCTATCCTTCCCATCCCAAATTCAAATATTATATTCGCATGATATTTCATGGTTTTCGTAGTTAGATCAAAGAACTCGATAAACTTTCAGATTATAAAAAAAAATATTAGATGACTTTCATTTTACATGATTAAGACGGTGTGTACATAAGTTGTCATTTAGTTTCACAAACGAATATAAATAGAAAAACTCCGTATCGCTTATGAACCGGAACCGAAAAACTCGGTATCATTTTCGAATCGAATCATTTGGTAAGACTCTTTCACTCGAGTTTTTTGATCATGCGAAAAACCTGGGTCGAAGATTGGGCGAAATTTATTATTATAATAAAAAATAAAAAAATAATTTGTTGGATAAAAAATAAATGAACAGATGCCACGTGGAAGAGTCACCATCGGCAGCAGAATACAAAATGGACCCATGCAGATGATATTTGAAAGCCCATCATGAAAAGCCCAATAGACCCGTAATATGACCCATGTTTGGTTTCGGTAGCTCGCGTATTTTACACCAATACATCAACGGATCACGAGGGTTCTGTTCTGTTTCCAAGGAGAAGGAATAGGAAATCTTTTTTCTTGATTTTCTATTTGATCTCTGGAAAATAATGGAATATAATATCATTTTTTATTTATGGAAAATGAAAAAAGGTTACAAGTCATAAATCAGGTATGGTTTCAGATGCTTTATAATCACGCATCTCAAGATTTTGCCGATTTTATTTTTTTTTTTAATTTAAAATTTTCCCTTCCTAAACCCAAACTAAAACAGTTGACTAATTGTGACCAACTACCACAATCTCATCCTTCATCTCCGCCGTACCATCCGCCATGATCGTCCCCATCATCTCCTCCTCCTCCTTCTTCCTCTTCCTCGTCTCGATCTTCACCTCTCCTGTTCAAGCCAAGGTCACCGTTTCCTTCTCCCCCAAAACCCTCAACCGATCTGGCGACTCTGTCCTCGTCCAATGGTCCGGCGTCGAGTCGCCCTCCGATCTCGATTGGCTCGGTATCTACTCTCCGCCTGAATCTTCCCATGATCACTTCATTGGTTACCGGTTCCTGTCGGATTCACCCTCCTGGAAATCCGGGTCGGGTTCGATTTCCCTCCCGCTCACCAACCTCCGATCGAATTATTCCTTCCGGGTCTTCCGATGGACGCAGTCCGAGGTTGATCCGAAACATAAAGACCATGACCAGAACCCATTACCAGGAACTCGCCATCTTCTCGCCGAATCGGAGCAGCTGACTTTCGGATCGGCCGTGGGTCGACCGGAGCAGATCCATCTGGCGTACACGGATGCCGTCGACGAGATGCGGGTGATGTTCGTTGCCGGAGATGGAGAGGAACGCTACGTGAGATACGGGGAGGCGAAGGAGAGGCTCGGCGCCGTGACGGCGGCGCGTGGGATGAGGTACGAGAGAGACCACATGTGCGACGCGCCGGCGAACTCAAGCATCGGGTGGAGGGATCCCGGATGGGTTTTTGACATCGTCATGAAGAATTTGAAGGGTGGGATTAGGTATTACTATCAGGTAAACGATTCTGAATCGATTTCTTCTGGTTGAACCATGAAGATCATGCAATTTCTGTCAATAATTCTGCTTGCATCTGATGCTAATCGTGTCATCTATGGTGATCTGGGTTTGATCCTGTATACGTTTGTTGATAGTTTCTGGGTTTTGAACTCGAAGAATCTCATATATTAGGTTTAGTTCTAGGGTTTTGTAGATGTTCATGAGACATATGGGATAGATGTTAGATCTGATGGGTTCTTACGTTGCCGAATATGGATCAGGTTGGAAGTGATTCCGGAGGATGGAGTGATGTCCTAAGCTTTGTTGCACGAAACGAAAACTCCGATGAAACGGTAGCCTTCATGTTCGGAGATATGGGGTGTGCTACTCCTTACACGACGTTTATCCGTACACAAGATGAGAGCCGATCTACCGTGAAATGGATCCTCCGTGACATCGAAGCTCTAGGGGACAAGCCTTCTCTCGTCTCGCACATCGGAGATATAAGTTATGCCCGTGGTTACTCGTGGGTATGGGATGAATTCTTTGCTCAGGTCGAGCCTATTGCCTCGAAGATACCCTACCATGTGTGTATCGGCAATCATGAATATGACTGGCCTGCTCAGCCATGGAAACCCGACTGGGCAGCATATATATACGGGAAAGATGGAGGCGGTGAATGTGGTGTGCCGTACAGTGTCAAGTTCAACATGCCCGGAAAATCCTCAGAGTCCACGGGAATGAATGCTCCTCCCACGAGGAACCTTTACTATTCATACGATATGGGTTCGGTCCATTTTGTGTATATCTCAACCGAGACGAATTTCCTTCAAGGAAGCAGTCAGTACCAGTTCATAGAGCGAGATCTAGAGTCAGTGAACAGGAGCAAGACGCCGTTTATAGTTTTACAAGGGCATAGACCGATGTATACGACAAGCAATGAGATTAGGGACACTGCAATAAGGCAGAAAATGGTTGAGCACTTGGAACCGTTGCTGGTGAAGAACAATGTGACAGTTGCTCTATGGGGGCATGTCCACAGGTATGAGAGGTTCTGTCCGATCAGTAACTTCACGTGTGGGAAACAATGGCATGGTCATCCGGTTCATCTCGTGATCGGTATGGCAGGACAAGATTGGCAACCCATCTGGGAGCCGAGGCCCAACCATCCAGATCTCCCGATCTTCCCTCAGCCAGAGCGGTCAATGTACCGTGGGGGCGAGTTTGGATACACCCGGCTTGTCGCCAACAAGGAAAAACTCACTATTTCTTATGTGGGTAACCATGACGGGGAAGTGCACGATATGGTCGAGATCTTGGCATCGGGAGCAGTTATCAGCGGTGGTGAAGATGGTAAAACCCTAAACCTTGGAACTGGAACCGAAACCCAATCTGAATCCGTGGTCTCGTGGTATATCAAAGGAGCGGGCGTAATGGTGTCGGGAGTGTTATTAGGATACCTTATCGGGTTTATTACCCGCGGGAAGAAAGAATCTGAATCGGGTAGCCAGTGGATCCCTGTGAAGAATGAAGAGACGTGATTTAACTGATTCTTTTAGGACATTCTATCCCATGGTTCATGACAGTGAAGCTGGGAGATATTTCAGTATTGATTGTCACCTTATATCTGTAATGTATCTATGGACCGTCTGAACATACACACGTCTATAAATGTACGGTTTTGTACGCCGACAATAATAATCCCATCTCGTAGGAACACTGTCTGAAGTAGTGTGGTCACATACTGTGATGTAGATGCTTGTGGATCTTTCTTTGTATCAGACATTGGAATTGTCTCCTTACGGTTAATGACTAAACTGAATCTGGTACACGTCCGTACCAAATCAGCAAGAACAACATGAATAAAGATCCAACAAAAATAAAAAACAATCTTTTGATATTGAGAAAGAAATACAGGAGAATGTTTGGGGCCAGAAGAAGCAAAGACAGACAATAAAATACGTATATATATACGTATATTGACAAGGTATGATGTTTTTTTTGTTTGTGAGGAAACGTGTTTCATTTGGAAAGCAGGTGACGGGCACGTTGATTAGCGCCTTTAACACGAGAGTTGAGTTCATCGACATCATCGCTGAGATGATCAAGAGCCTTGTTTTGCCTGCAAATTTCACCAACACACAGATGCTTACGTATAATATACATATACATATGTATGTATGCATCCTTTTATACGGACCTGTCGAGTTCACTTCCCATGTCGACGGCCATGCTCTTCAGATCTCCCAAAATGTCGCTTAGATCCGACAGTCCATCCTCTTGCTTAGCCTTCTCTTGCTGCACATGAATGAAACCATTAACCATTACTGAATCTATTAGCTCTTATATCCTACCAATATCTATACATCGATCTGTATGCATATTTCAGTTTCGAGAAATAAAACCTCGACTTTCTGCAATGCATTCGTCGGTTCGGGAGGAGGCGTTTGGCTGCGGGATCGCCCTTTGTTCCCCGTTGGGGCCAAACCGAGTTTTTCTCTCTGCTCCTTTCGATTCTCGCTTTGCTTGCTCGGATTATCTACAATGTTTATAACCATTAAATTCAAATCATGATTTAGTTTTAATCCAAGATTGCAAAAGAATGTCTATGTATGTATATATACAGTACCTGCAGGTGTGATCATAGGTCCAGCGATATGTTTTGTCTTCTTCGGCTTCCATGGCATCGAGAACATTCCTCCCAGATTGTTCAGAAGCTTCTCACCCTTGTTTCAGACATTTAGACAACGTTTTTTAAACAGATCTACCCACGTTTCTTATCGTACAAGTTAGGTTTATATCATGCCAGACAGACGGAAAGAGCAGAATCTAATGGAGACCCTGTTAAGACAAAACTCCTGAGTTCCCATTTGTTGGGAGATCAGAGAAGAAAGATTTTACTTACCCGACTGAGATCTTTATCCATTTCGACAGCCATGACATGAGTCCTGTTGATCTGCTCGCCTTGCTGATGCAACATATCGAGCGTTCTCGTGGCATCCGATCTTATATCCTCAGCGATTTTCAGACAATTGTTCACTCCCTTGGTGGTTTCCTCGGCTTTATACACCGCATATTTCTCGAGATCTTCCGTCGTTTGGCTCTGCAGACCCCCCGAGTCTCGGAAATCGTCCTTGTACTTGTCTTTCGAGCTCGGATGATCGAAATCCGGGGTGATAAGGATCGGCTCTGACGAAGTTCTTCTTCCCGGATTTATCGTCCCCTTGCTGTTGGATTCGTTCGAGAGGTTGTTTCCCGGCGACTTGAAAAATCCAAACATGTTTCCGCCACGAACGAGAAGCAGATCAGAACCTTATGTTTCGGCTGCGGAATTCCAGAGCCTGGGAAAATGAAAACAGATTTCGTCATACGAAATATGGTTTCTTGCATGGCAAGAAATTGACAAACGATCTGTGGAGGAGCAGTGATGGCATCAAGAAATCTGAAGCATAAAATGTTTTCCGTGACCAAAAGATTAGATCGAAACACCAGTTGAACTTATTGTTCGAGATTCGATGAAATTGTTTCGGGTTTCTAGAAGAACAAGAGACGAAATCCGATTGAAAAGTTTCCAGAAACACTTGATTTTTGAGGAATTAACCTGAAATTGGCGTGGAGAATCTGAAAGAGAACTACGTTAAAAGATTACAATCAAATGGAACGGCAGAGGATAAACAAAAAGGGTATGGATCAAATCGTTTGATAGATCAAATAAAGCGGACAATAGGAGACAAAAAAAAAACCTGCGAATGGAAGATGCTGTCCGAAAATGGAATCCGTGACAGCCATGATCGAGATTTACTTCACGACCGGTAAAGAGAATCTCTCTCCCCCTCTCCCCGTGCATTCCGACCGTTGGCGCTCCGAAAGCCTCTGGACGAGACAGAAGTTTCCTAAAAATATACGACTTTTGGTTTAACCGAGGCTCGGCCGTTAAATTTACTGCTTACAATTACAAGGTTATTTAAGAAAAGGATTTACGGTGACAAAAGAATTCGAAATTATATAACCAAAAAGACAAATCCTATAAAAATATTCAAACTCAATGTAAAAATGCATTAACTTTTAATTTAATAAATAAATATATTAAATATGAAAATATGCTAAAAAATACCTCAACTCTTGGAATCGAAAACAATTTTCTACGATCGACGATGTTATTAAGATTTATTTCTACCATCGATAATATCATTAAATTTTGAAATAAAGTTGTTTTTGAATATATTGTTAATGTTTATCAGTGTACAGAACAATTTAGATAAAATCATCGACGGTGATGAAGTGCATGAAATTATTTTTGATTGTAAATGTTTAGATATTTTTTATATTTTAATATTTGATGTATTTTTTTTTAAATTTAAAGTTGATATATATTTTTATGAGATTTTTCGAGAAAAAAAAAAGAGAATGAATGCAATACAAAATGAAATAGAAACCACATGCTCTTGAGTAAATATCTAAAGTAGGTCCAATTTAAGGGGAATAGCTGCAATACCATTTGACTGCTATTTGGACTTTTCATACTACCCTCCAAACAAAAAATACTATTTACTATGGCAAAAGACAATAAAATCCTCATATATTAATGAAAAGACAAAAAACCCTCTATTTCTTTCAATTAAAAAATTTAAAATTAAAAAAAAAAATAAAGTTACGCAACTTTATTTTGATTTCCCTCTCTCTCTCCTAACTTTATTCTTCTTCTTCTACTTTCTCTCTCTTCATAAATCTTTTTCTTCTCTCTCTTAACTCTCACGGTTTTAGCTCTCTCACTCTCTTTCAAAACTTCTAATCTTTTGTGTTTTGTGCAATCTTTTACGTTTTGTTCTATTTTCTGTTTAAATCTCCGGTTAGATTCAAAATCCGAAGAAGAAATGAAAACCGTATGGAAATTGCAAGGTTAGACAAAAACATGGTAGGTTAAACTTTAATTTCTTTTAGATTTGTTGGATTTTGAAATTTGTTGTTGTTGAGTTGAAGTGTGGTTTTGAAATTTGACCGATAGAAATTTAGGGTTTTGGGTTTTTCAAATTTCATTTAGCGACCAAAAATTGAGGAGATAGAAGAAGCAATGACGACATCGAAGAAATGACAAGTTCATGTTAATCTTCGTCACATTTTTCGAGCAAAAGTAGTAATCTTATGGAGATTACGGAGTTAGATGAACACAAGGTAGGTTAAAATTCAATTTTTTTGCAAATTTGTTTGAATTTGAGATGTGTTCTTGTTGGGTTGAAGTGTGGGTTGGAGATTTGAATGATAAAGCATTAGGGTTTTGGGTTTTTTTAAAAAAAATTTGGGGATTTCAAAATAGAATGTTGGTTTACGAGGTTATGGATCAAATCGAGTGAAATGGTTGAGTTTCAGTCAAATAAGACAGTCATATAGGTCACATCACGGTATGGGTCGTTGTTTGGATGTATAGATGACATGAGGATTCAAATGCTATGATCTCACGGTCACAGTCACAAAGGTCACAATGTCACAGGATCATATAGGTACACCTATATCACAATATACAATAGTCACGGGTCATATGGTCATATGGTCACAAGGTCACATGATCACATGATCACATGATCACATAGTCACATGGTCATAAGGTCACATGGTCACAATATCACACGGTCACAGTTACAAAGGTCACATGATCACAGAATCATATAGGTACGTCTATATCACAATATACAATAGTCACGAGTCACATGGTCACATGGTTAATTACATGATCACATAGTCACATGGTTACATGGTCACAAGGTCACAAGGTCACATGGTCACAAGGTCACACGATTCCGATTGACTATATTGCATATAGAAAGGGGTGAACAAACACTTCTTTTTTATTTGGAAGGGTATAAGGGGAGTACAGATGAAATGGTTCAGTTTTGGATACGACATCTGAAAACGAACCTGGTCACATGGTCACATAGTTACACGGTCTCATAGTCACATAGTTTTATAGTCATACAGTCACATGGTCATAGTGTCACACGATGATATCTAGAAAATATTATTGACATATATTATTTTATTTTGTAGCACATGAAAGAGACGATGTATGAACTCCACACCTGCATTACAAAACATCACGTGATCTACATAGGATGCAACTATTTGACTTGCGATACTATGTTCATAAAGCTGATCAACGCATGAGTAGAATCGAAAGACATGACAACAAATATTTCAGAAGACGAAAGTGTAAATTTTTAATTTATTTCACTAAATTTACTTTGTTTATTTTGTTTTGAACCCTAACTATGATATGTTTTTCTTTATTTGGTAGTAGACTAAATTATGAACTCTTGTATTTAGTTTTTTGTTTATTAGAAATCTGAATTTATTTATGTTTTATGTAAAATATGGATCTAAATTATTGTATGAAAAATTTTAAACTTAAATTGATAGAGAAAAAAAAATAAGGTTAAAATAAAATTACGTTTTTTTCAATTGTGAAATGAGTTAAATTGTCAAAGTAGTCCCCACAAGAAATCTAGGTTGAATTGTCAAAGTGGTCAACACAATGAAATAAGAAAAAAATTATGGGTTGAAAATATTGTAGGTGAAAATTTGGGGTTAAAAATTGGGAGGGAAAAAATATAGGGTTAAGAGAGAAATTATATAGGGTTGAATATTCAAAATATGCACCATATTAAAATTAAAAAATGGAAATAATGATTGTGGACCCTACGAAACATAAAAATCTGGAGAAATCTGACTAGTTTTTTCTGTGGGTCCCACATCACATTTCAATCACAATGGGTCATAGTCGGTCACAACCGGTCACAACCTTCGATTCATGCGATTTTTGTCAATTTAATTACCTACAACGTTACACATATCTCATAAGCCTATTCTCTATTGTTTCGAACATTAGAATATGGTTTTTGCGATTTTTATGTTTCAAAATTGTTCTTCCAAATATGTTTCTATATATTTCATAGTGTTTTACGAGTGTTTTTGACAAATTTGGAATATTTTTTCTACAAACCTCTTAAAATATTTTGAAAATTTCTCACATACACTATATATTTGATATATAGACCCTGATAAACCACTCTAAAGCTTAAAAATTATATTTGGGTCTATATTTATCAACACATTTCGGTCACGGGTCACAGTCGGTCACAATGGTCACACAGTGTAAAATTGCACTTCGGTCACACGGTCACATGCTGGTCACAATGGGTCACAACGTTGCCTCATGTGAGTCAATTTATTTAGTGTACAACACGAGTCAGATATATGCGAAAATACAAGGTTAAAAGTACAATATTAATTAATATGGTACAGACACAATATTATCCAAAATTTTAACACATTATTGTACAAACAATTACAAAATTATTAGGGTCTTTGGATATTATTGTACAAATGGTCTGTAACACGTTAGTATACAAATATACCACACAATTATTATAGAAATTCTGGTTATTTTTCACTCTAAATTAGTTGTTCTCTCTTCATAATATACATCATCTCGTTTTTCACTACGTTCAACAATACTTCCATGAGCAAAATTATAGGTTGTGACCGAAATATATTAAAACGAAGAAACTGCGGAAAGAACAACAACTAGAAGAAAAAAAACCACAAAAACATCAATGTGCATGGAAAAAAATCGGGATTTCCACACTAGTTTAAATATTTTTAGTTTTCTCATTGATTTTCCTTTGATTTCATCCGATTTCTGCAAATTTTTAGGACAAAATATCAAGATAAATAGGAGAGAGAAAATATAGAAGAGAGAGAAAGCTCAATCGAAAATAATGGCGGAAGGAGAGAGAAACGTGCAAAAAATGGGAGGAGAGAGAAACTTTAGAAAAAAAGGGAAAATTTTATTTTTTATTTTTTTAATTAAAAAATTAAAAATGGGAGGAGAAAGAAACTCCAGAAAAAGAAGAAATTTTGTTTTTTATTTTTTTAATTAAAAAATTATATCTTAAAGGTATTTTGGTAATATGTTATTGAAGAGAGTTGATTGGAAGTTGAATTTTTTTTTTTTAAATGAAGAGGGTAGTAGGAGAAGTGCTTTTAGCACATTTGGGGTAATTTGGAAGTTGCTCCAATTCGGGGTGGGGACCAAAGAAATAAACACGTGAGTTTTGTTGGATTCTATTTATGTAATCATTGAGAGATTTGATTGTGAAGGAAAACTGTTCGTCGCGACTTTCGTGTTCTAAATTATAATAGTTGGATTTAGAGGTAGATAAAATAGCCGAATCCGAAATAACCGAATCGAACCTGATCGATGTATATCCGAATCGAACCGATTAAAATAATATATCCGATTGGATATGAATATTTCAAACCCGAAATACGCGAATTCGAAATAACCGAACCCGAAATAACCGTAAACCGAATAAACCGAATCCGAATTAACCGTAACCGAATATATCCGTTTATTCATCCATATATCATCAATTAATATGTAATATATTTTAAGATTAATATAATGATATTGTTTTATAACCATGGTATATAAAAAAACGAAATATGCATGTATTTTAATGTTGTTTTTGTTATTTTTATAAGATAACTGTTTGAATTTTTTTATCGTTTTTTTGTTTGGATAACCCGAACCGAATCGAATTTGTTTTAGAAATACCCTCCATTTGCTAATGGACTTCATGGATACCCTTATAATTTTTGATATTCCAAGCTTGCTCTTAAATATAATAATTATTTTTATTCATAGGATTTTAATTCATTTTCGAAAAAACTTAATATTTTTTTTATTGTTTCTAGTGTTTCTTCCAAAAATGGAAGCCATGATCCTTTATAATTATCTTTCGATTAACATTTTTTAAAGTATTCAACTTTTATTTTTTTATTATAATTAATTTATTTAATTCTATAATTGTATTGTTAATTTGTTCTTTTTCTATTGTATGTTGCATACTTCTTAAACTGCTTTCTGTTTCTAAATATTGTATTGGTGCGTTTAATAATTCAATATTTTTCTTATATATTTTTTCTATTTTATTCGTCAGAATTCATAATATCTCTTTTAATTTCTCTTACTGTATTAAATATTGCACTAATCATTTTTATTCTCCGATTTTCATCATTAAGTTCATTTCGTTCAATTGGTCCATAAGTTCGTTCCCTAAATATATTTTCTATTGTTTCAACTAATAATTGTTCAAGATGATCAAGACATAGTAGACTTTCAAGGTTTAGTAGGGATAGTTTTTCGATAAAATCTTCGTTGAAACTCATCTAGTAAGGTTGTTGATTTGTAATATTGTTTTTGTAACTTAGATTAGTCTTCCTGTTTTTCTTCCGATTGTTCAGTGTTGAATAATAAAGATGGTGATTCCTGTATTCTTAATCTTGGATTAAGTCGTAATAAAGATTTACGTCCTGATTCTATTGGTGTTAATGGTCTTTTTAAATAAATTACTGGTTTAAATAAATCATCTATTTCTATAATATCTTTGTTTCTAAACTTTAAATTATGATAGTTGTTTGTTAATGCATAGTTAATCTGATAGGTTATAGAAAAAAGGTGTTTTTTTTTTCATAAAATCTGTTCTGTCTAGTTTATATTGGATAATTATAAAATTATCCAAGTCTTTATCTTTTAATGATAATCTGAGTTGTATATTAATGCTAAATTTAATTTTTCCAGAAGAAAGATTTTCTTTTTCTCCGGCTATAATATTTTCTTTATAATTGGTTAGTCTGTCATCTCTAATTTGAAAGGTAATCGGAGAATCGATACCTTCTTTGAATGTTGATTTATAATTATTTGAATAGTACTACAGTATATGTAAGCTATTTGTTTTCTTTGTTTTTCTGGACAATTTCTTAGACGTTCTAAGATTTGTTCTTTGTTAATAATTGGTAAAATGAGTTCTCATGTAGTTTGTTCAATTGGTACTGGTGTTTCTCCTACCATGATTTCGAACTTTATTATGTTTGTTCTCGATAATTGTTTCTTTATTTTTTCTAGTATAGTTTGTTCGAAGTTTTCATCTTTTTGAAGATCAAAACTTATTTTCTGTATTTTGTTTATGTCTATAATTCCATCAAAGAAATATTCTTCATCTGATTGTATAAAATTATCAAATGTAGAAGTTGATACCATACCTGATTCGTTTTTGTAGACAATAATCCCTATCGGTTGGTGTTGGTGATGATCGTTTCCTCGTTGGTGATCCAGAGATCTGATCGACTTTTTAATTTTGTTTAGGGCTAGTGTTTGGTTCCAAAATTCTGGAGTAATCGATTTGTGATTCAAAAGAATATGTTCAAGGCCTCCAGAAGATAGAAATCTTCAAGTCAACCTCTTAAGAGAGATCTTTCAGAGAGAGTTCTGAAACAAATGAGTTTATTTCACTCTGAGTTCTCCAAACGGAGAGAGCTTATATTTATACAATTTTGGAACCCCTATCGGTCAAGATAAGAATCTCAAACCGGGGCCCGACTTAGACACATGACACTACATAATTGCACAATAGAGATTACAGAGATAAGGTTTCTGATAACCTTATCTTTTATTGGGTCCGACATATTACATCAACTAGTCATATGGTTTTTTCTTCACATGTCTTCAGATTTTTCGGATGGTGGTTGACTGTTCCTTTTCATCTTGTCTTTTAGTTCTTTGCAGATAGTGCATTTGTGGTCGTTATACCTCATCAAGAAACTGCAGAGCTGTTCCTTGATGGATTCTTCTAATCCTGCGAATTTTCCTTCTAAGTGATATAAGTATAATTCGAAATCTGCTACTGCTTGCATTTCTTCCTTTGAAATTGTATCCTTTTTGTAGGTGATCATCAAAACGTTATTGCTAGCATAATTCATCTTGATCTCTAAGTCTGCAAGGATCTTTCTTGACACCTTGAAAACTTCAAGTAATGAATGAGCTTCCAAATCATCTGAGATCTCATAATCTGATGCATTATCTCTTGAAGACAATTCTCCATTTGCTACTCCAAGGTGTATTACAGCCTGTGACTATATGATCTTGTTTTTCCCGAAGATCGGGATTGAACTTTTAATCTTTATAAAAATGGTCCTTTTCTTCGCGAATCGTTCGAAATAATTCCTAATGATCGGCTTCATTTTCCTTGGAAATTCTTCGAATATTTTCATCGAATCAGTATAAATACTGTCGACTAATCCATGTTGAAGATAATCAAAGGTCATTAATGGGTTGGCTCCAATGAAGATATCTTTTGGTCCAACTCTGGTCATTTTTGGGTAGAAACCCATGGAGGTGTGTTTTTCTTTGTAGTCTACTAGGGATGCTCAGTAAGACTGGTATTTTTCGAATGTGGCTTGTTTCATGGCTTCTTTTTCTTGTGTGGTTGGTATTTGAGCTATTCTTGGTTTTCTCATCGAGGGTAGTGTTGGAACTATGGATCAAGCCCACTTAGTGCAGAAGAAAAATGACGTGGAAAGTTGAATGAACATTTTGCGGTGGTTTTATTACAGTTTTTGTTGATAAACTTTTGTGGGTTGTTTGGTAACTGCTGTAAGTTATTATTGTGTCTTTAAAAGCAAGTGTCATGGTGCTGTATAGATTATTGCAGAATAGTCTTTTTTTCTGTAATCCTCTTACGAGAGTAAAAGTGTGTTTGTTGTGTGAGTGTTTGGTTTATAAAAGTTATCATGGTATCAGAGCGTATATGATCTTTTTGGGATTTGTGGGAGTATGGGTAGGAAAAAACGATTTGATTTGGGTTTTTGTTTTTGGGTTTGTAAGAAAAAGAAGAGATTGTTTTCTCGTTTGTTTAGAGTAGAGAGTGCGAAGAAGGGCCACTTTCTAAGAGAAACATCGAAGAGCAACGTCAAGAATGATGCATTACGGTGGAGTTTGTGAAACTAACAAGATACGATCTTGTATGGTTCAGTAAGACGATGAAGAAACTGCGACTTCGGTGGTTCCGGAAATCGCAGAATATTGCAAGGAAAAAAGAAGATGAAGCTTCCGAGGAAGAGCAATCTAAAGAAGAAGAAACTCGAACCAGAATTTGAACGAAGATTAACTGGAGGAGAGTCGTGACAATGAAGACGACGATTCTGATGGAGTTGAAGATGATTGTAAGTTTTGTCGGGTTTATGCCTCAATAAGGTAAACCTGGAAGTTGCGAACTCGAGAAGGGGCAGTGTTGCACTCGAGAGACATATTGGAGAAACCGAGATGGGGCAGTTTTGCACTCGGGAAAATGAAGATTGTTTTTGTGATGTGTGGATCTTGATCCAAGGGGGAGTGTTGGAACTATGGATCAAGCCCACTTAGTGCAGAAGAAAAATGACGTGGAAAGTTGAATGAACAGTTTGCGGTGGTTTTATTACAGTTTTTGTTGATAAACTTTTGTGGGTTGTTTGGTAACTGCTGTAAGTTATTATTGTGTCTTTAAAAGCAAGTGTCATGGTGCTGTATAGATTATTGCAGAATAGTCTTTTTTTCTGTAATCCTCTTACGAGAGTAAAAGTGTGTTTGTTGTGTAAGTTTTTGGTTTATAAAAGTTATCAGGTAGTTGGGCTTTTGGTTCAACTGGTTGTTTTTGGGCCATGGTTTTGTATGATTCATTGAGGGCTTTTTGGGACTCTCTTTGGTCTGGAAAGCTCGGTATGAAACCTTCTTTCCGGTGGTATGTTGCGAAACGATCGTATAGTTCATGTATATTCCTCTGAATGGTCCATTGAAGATATCATACCATTTGTCCGGTTTTTCTTCTACCTTGATGTCGGTAGGAAGTGTTATATTTTCTGATTCTTTTTCTTGTTCTTGTTTTTTTATCTTCTACTGGTGTTCCACCAGTTGCTTTTATGATGATATTCTAATATTTGATCAACTCCTCTATCTCCTCAAAGGGTTTTGAGAGATTTTCCTGAACTGTTTTGATCTGTGTGTCTTTCTGTCTGATCTGATTCTGAATTGTCTTGATTATTCTTTCCATTCTCTTGTTAGAGTGTCTGCAAACAATTATTTGTGGACTTAATATATTTAATATATGGTTCAGATTGATGTAATTCTAATTGCCATCGAATTAATCGTCCTTTTTGGAATTCTGGTTGAATTTTATATCTCCAGAATCCTGTTACGTATTGTGAATCAGTTCTTAATTCGAAACGTGTTTGTAATAAGTCAATTTTCCATTTCTTTAGAGTTCGAAGACAAGCAAATGTTTCGAGCTCATGAATTGGATAATTCATCTCAGTTTTTGAAAATGTCCCTGAAATATATTTGCATAATATTGTATTTTATTTTTCAGTTTTTGGTACTTCATTATTATCGGTGCGACCGTATTGGTCAAGATGGAGTAATTCTTTTCCATCTTTTATTGCTAACATGCATCCTGCCCAAACTTCTTTAGATGCATCTGTTTCGATGATCAGAAAGTCTTTGATCGTTGGATTGTATAACTTTGGTAATATCTTTATATTTTCTTTTATATGTTTTACTAGATTTGTATCTTGGTTAGACCAAGACCATGATACTTTGTCTAATATTTTCTTTTGTAAATGTTTTCGCTCATTTGCTAAGGATTTAAGAAATCCTTGTTCAGAAACATAATTAAGGCACCCAAGGAACCTTTGTATTTGTTTTCTGTCTGTTAATTCGTTAGGAAATTGTTGTATTTTTTCATGTACATTATTTGTTAGTTCAATTTCTCCGTTATTATTTATTTTTAATCCAAGATATTCGATTTCTTGTTGTACCTGTTTTGATTTCTTTTTAGAAATAATTAATCTTTTTTCTTTCCATCGTTCTTGAACGATGATTAATTTTTCAGGGTGTTCTGATTGTGATTCATTTGTAAATATTATGATATCATCAATGTATACTAGACAATATTCTTCTAATCCACGGAGATTTCTATCCATGAATTGTTGATATATTGTTGGTGCTTGTTTTAATCCAAATGGAAGAACATTTCTTTCATAATGTTTTTGTGGAGGGCATGAAAATGTCGTTAATGGTTTTGTTTCTTCTGACAATCGAAGTTGCCAGTATCCTGATTTAGCATCTAGACTGTTAAACCAGTTTTTTCTTTTTATTATTTCGAGAATATAATCTTTTCTTGGTAATTTATAACTATTTCCAATAGTTGCTTCATTTAGTTTTTTATAGTTTATTACCATTCTTCTTTTATCTCATTATTATTTTCCACGTAGAAAGCTAGAGCCGAGTGTGGGCTCGTACTTTCTCGTATAATACCTTTATCTAGTAGTTCTTTGCATTCTTTGGTGAATTCTTCCACATCCGTGTGGGTATATTGCATTTTATTTGGTATATTGATTTCATCTTCGGAGTTTTTTAGTTTTATTACTATTAGTTCTTCATTTGTATTTTATATATCTAACGGGTTATCGCTACATATTTCATCATGTTTTTGTTCAATATGACTTATAAATGTTAGTCTGTTTTTTAAATCTTCTATAATAGATTTTATTATTTTATTTTTTGTTATTACTTTTATTGTAACTAATTCTGATTTTTGGTTTTCTATTTTAGGTGCTTTCAAACTGATCGTTTTTATTTTTTGTATAAATGGTTGATATAATTTTAGGAAATTATTTCCTATAATTATATCTAATCCAGAATCATGCTGATATATTGTTTTTGTTGGAAATATTTTAGTCTCAATAATTATTGATACGTGTTGAGCCACATACCAGATTTCATGGACTGATTTATCGGCCACAACTATCCTTAATGGTTTTTCTAATCGTACCCATTTTTTGATGATATTTCTTTTAGCAAAATATAGAGTTGCTCCTGTGTCTATGTATGCTAATAATTTTTTCTTTTCAATAGTTATTTGTATAAATGTTGCATTAGGGTTTCATGATTTTAGTATTTTTCTATTCATTTTCTGAATCAGATGAGTATGTGCATATATTTCGATATCAGAGTCGAACTCTGAATCTGATTCGATTGGTTCAAAGTCCATATCGTATGCTATTCGTAATATTTATGTTTCCTTTTTCTTTTCTTTTTAGGAAATTCATTTGCATAATGTCCTTCTTCTTGGCATAGCCAACATTTGCAATTCTTTTTTTAGAAGGACACATACTGTCATTCTTACCATAGTTTTTCTTTTTGTATTGTTTTCTATTTCTGAAATATTTTTGTGGTATATATTTTTGTTTTCTGTATTTTTTATATGAGAATTTTCTCCATTTCTTTTTCTTATGTTTTTGGCGAATAAGTTCACAACCATATTTGTCTATTTGTCCTGGTATTGATCCACAACATAATTTATCAATTTTTGCTTCTTGTTTTCGTTTTTCTTGGTTACATTGGAATAAATGTCAATCTTTTAATGTTGTTATTCTTCCTCCCAGAGTATTGAGGATTTTTCTTCATTTACTTTATTCTGAAATATAGTTTTTATTTTTTCTGATATCGATAAAGGTAGTTTATCAAATAATAATTTTTCGGCTACTATTTTCTTATATGTTGCTAGTTGATAGTAATGATCTATGAATTCGCAAATAAATGCTTCGAGATAGCACATATTACAAATTCTAAGATTTACTATTTTCCATAATGCAACTTCTAATATTTGTGTTTCTCTTAGTTGTGTGTTAGAAGTTCTCCCAAGAAATTCTTCTCCTATCACGTCGATTAGTCTAACAAATATTTCTCATACAATTGATCTTAGAATTTTTTCTGCTTTTATTCATGTTGATAATCCTATTAAGTAGTTATATACTATTCCTGTTGTTTTATGTTCTAAGTAACTTAACATTGTCGTGAGGGTATAATTCTCTTAATTCCTTATTATTTTGTATTAGTAAACTTATACGATTTTTCTAATATTCTAATGTTCTGATTGGATTAATTTCACAATCTAGATTTAATATTACTGAAGATTTTATATTAAATGTATCATATTTTGGAATATATTCAAAAGGAACTTTTCTCCAATTGTTTCCTTTCGTAATATATTAGTTTTGAAATAGTTCGTATTCATGATCTTTGTATCCTTGATATTCATCATGTGTTCGATTTTTAGGTAATGTATTATTATTACTATTATCCCACCTTTCTAGTTCAGTTTTAACTAGGAAATGATTATCATATGGATTTTCGTAGGGATTTTCATCACTACTATAGTCTAAGACAATTTTTTCAGTTTCATCAGGTTGTTCTTCTTCGGGTATATTTAGAGCAACTAATAATGTTGATAATTTTTCTATCTGATCATATAATCCTTCCATTATATTTTTGGTGGTGATCTAATTCAAAGATTACATTGATCGATAATAATTAATTCTTTTATTTCTTTCTTAAAATAATTTTGTAAATCTTTTATAGTGATACACCTGTTTTGATTAAGTCGTTCGATTATTTCTTGTAATTGTTCTATTATTTCTAATATATTCGATTTTTTATCTTCGTCTGGATTTATTATTTCTTTTCCTTCATTTTTTGTAATAATATTTTTTACTAATTCTTTAGCTTCGTTAAGTTCTTTTATTATTTGAATATGTCTGTTATTATAATTGTAATTATTTGTTGTTGTGAGTATTTCTGTTATATTTAGTAATAATTCTTTTAATTCGACAGTTGTTTCTCTAATTAATTTTTCTATAGTTTTCTTTATAGTTTCAGTCATACTATTATTGTTTTAATATATTCTTTTAATTCTTCAGAGTGTTGTTTAATTTCTTTAATATTTTTTTCTTGTAGATATATTATTTTTTCAACTTTTTGTTTATATTTTTAGTTTCATCTTGTTTTTCATGGTTCTCGAATATTTTTATTAATCTATGTAGTTGATTTTCTAAATCTGATTTTATATTTTCAATATTTCTTTTTAATTCTTCGTGATTTTCCTGATTTTGATGTATGATTCCATAAGAAATCATTTTAACAATATTATTTAGGGTAAAATCTATTTTCTTTATTTTATTTCCGGGATTATGATTAGTATCATCATCAAAGATGATACCAATATAATATCGGCTTTCATTATGAAGTTTTTTCGGTATTGTTATCACCTGGAAATCCGAGATAATATTCATCTTCGTTTGTTAATATCAATGGTAATCCTTTCGAAAAATCAATTTTTTCGTTATCCATAATCGTTGCCTTGCTCTGATACCAAGTTACTACTGATCTATAAAATTACTCAAAGTTACAATTGATCTATAAAATTACTAAGGTGTACTGGTCACAGGGTCACAGTGGTCACAGAGTCACATTGGTCATAGGGTCACACCGGTTTTTTTAGTAATTTCTCCAAAAAATCTGATTTTAATATTATAATGGTCTTTTTGTAATTTTTATAAAACTGCTTGGTTTTTTGGGAAAGCCTATCTTTTTCAAGGGTATGCTTGAAGTCAAGTAGCATTTTAAGAGTATATTTGATATATTACCAACCGAACCCGATCCGATCCGATCCCGAACCGAACCAATTAAAAAAATATACCCGATTAGATACGAATATTTCAAATTCGAAATACCCGAAACCGAAATAACCAAACCCGATTAAACCGAACTCGTTCGATCATCCACCCCTAGTTGCACTATATATTATAAACGTTATGCACTTGGTTTAATTAAGTGATTGGATGATATGGTAAGACAAAAAGATTTCTCACGTGCTGTATTATTGTGGTTTACTTCAAACACGTGTGTGTATATATATTCGTGAATATACTAAAGGGCATTATATCAAAAATACCCTTAAAATGCTACTTCTACTTCAACATCTACCCTTGTGACCATGTGACCAATATGACCGAAATATAGTATGGTCACATATTGATCTCATTGTTTATAACGTTAAATTTATGATGTTTTAATCAAATGATTAGTAAGATATACAAGGTATGAACATAATGAATTAGTGTGATCACCATAAATTTAACGTTATAATCGATAAAAATCAAAATGTGACCATACTATATTTCGGTCACATTGGTCACATGTGACCAGGGTAGGTCTTGAAGTAGAAGTAACATTTTAAGGGTATTTTTGATAATGCCCCATACTAAAGATACTTTGTATATAAGCTGAAAGAAGGGAAAGAAAAGGAAAGAGAAGTGAAGATAGATTCTTTAACAAAAAAAAAAGAAGTAAACTTAGATATTCCAGTCTTTTCATTTTTTTTATAACTACGATCGTCCTCCGAATCCAATCTTCGACCCGACTATTTTGGACCCTACTACATTTACCTATATATTATATAGACATTTTTTTCCCCACAAGTCTAATCGAAGCCAGTAACTCCAGGAACTTAAGGAGTCTCTTCATTTCTTATTTCTCTCTCTACATCTCTCTGTCTCTCTAGAGAGAGAGATGGCGTCTTTACCATTTCCGGCGACGTGTGCAGAACAGAGAGTGCTCTCTTCTCCGACACTTGTTCCGATTTGGTCGGGTTTTTATCGGAGAACCAGGAATTCAAGGCGGATTTCCGCTTCGATTCGGCGTCTTGGTTCGTCGAGAAGGAGAACGAAGATTCAGAATGTTGCAAGCGAGCAACGAGGACAAGACCGACTCCATGAGGATCTCAGTGGTCAAGGTCTGAAACCCCCCACTCCAGTTTCCTTTCCTTAACCTCTCTCTCTCTCTCTCTCTCTCTCTCTCCCCACATTAGATAGAGTTTAGAATTCATCTGAGTCATCAGATTCTCCAGAAAACAGATTGAATCTCGAAAACGTGTATGAACTTGGACAATATCTCTGCAGTTTCAATGGATCCTTTAGCACCAGATGCATCATCCATTGCATCATCCATCAAATACCACTCTGAGTTCACTCCCTCTTTCTCTCCCGAAAGTTTCGATCTCCCCAAGGCATATATCGCCACTGCTGAGAGCATTCCGATTCCCTCATCATCAACTGGAACGCCACTTATCAGTACTATGACAAGATAAACGTCAAACAAGCTTACTACTTGTCCATGGAGTATCTCCAGGTTCACCAATGGCAGAAATACCTATCCCTATGCTGCTTTCTCGTACCTTTCTTGTGACACAAGTAACACAGTCCTTCAAAAATGGTGGGTGTTACTGAGAATTGCAGGGCAGGGCGCTGTTGAATGCGGTGGGGAATTTAGAGCTCACTGGGGCTTATTCAGAAGCTCTGAAGAAGCTCGGTTATACTCTCGAACAAGTCGCTGAACAGGTCTAGGCTGCATAATAATCGGATTCTCGATCTCGTCTTGCTATCTCGATCTGAACCAGATATTTAACCGGACTCGAATCTGTTTTCGTGATTCTGTACAGGAATCAGATGCGGCTCTTGGAAATGGAGGGCTCGGGCGGTTGGCTTCGTGCTTTCTTGATTCTCTGGCCACATTGAATTACCCTGCTTGGGGGTACGGTTTAAGGTACAGATATGGACTGTTCAAGCAACGAATCACCAAAGATGGTCAAGAAGAAGTTGCAGAGGATTGGCTTGAGGTATATAGATGTGTATATATACATATATTTATGATGTTTCTCAGAGAGATTTCTGTTTCCTGTACCGAGAAAAACCGCTTTCTGCAGATGGGTAATCCATGGGAGATTGTCAGGAACGATGTGACGTACAAGGTGAGGTTTTGTGGCGAAGTGGTTGAGGGAGAGAACGGGAGAAGAGAGTGGACAGGAGGGGAAGAAGTGACAGCTGTTGCCTATGATGTCCCGATCCCAGGATACGAGACCAAGACAACGATCAATCTCAGGTTATGGTCAACCAAGGTTTCACCAGAATCGTTCGATCTCAAGGCTTTCCATTCTGGTGATCACTCCAAAGCTTATGAAGCCATGAAGAACGCTGAGAAGGTTAGCTCGGGTCGGGTTTTCCATTTTGCAAGAATGTTTGTTTCATTTGCTACGAATGTTTTCTTATGTTTCGGGTTTTGGGTGAGCAGATATGCTATGTGTTATACCCCGGGGATGAATCATTCGAGGGAAAAAGACTTAGGTTGAAGCAACAATACATGCTTTGCTCAGCTTCTCTTCAAGATATTATCGCCCGTTTTCAGAGGAGATCGGGAAAATCCGTGAAATGGGACGATTTCCCGGAAAAAGTTGCAGTTCAGATGAATGATACTCACCCGACATTGTGCATACCTGAGCTTATAAGAATCTTGGTTGACATCAATGGCTTAAGCTGGGAAGAAGCTTGGAACATCACTCGGAGGTCTATCTCTTCTGTAATAATAATACAAAAAAGGAAAAAGAAACTCTCTTTCCATAGTTTTAGGGTTTAACATTCTTCTCTTCATGCAAAACCGTCGCGTATACGAACCACACAGTTCTTCCCGAGGCGCTGGAGAAATGGAGTTTGGATCTCATGCAGGAAGTTCTTCCACGACATGTCGAGATTATAACGATGATTGATGAGGATGCAAGGATTATCTGTAGAATCTTGAGTTCTTGGTCGTGTTTTCTTTTCTCGTCAGCCTTTTTAAGTTTTCAGTTCTACATATGCGATGTTACAACAGCTTATTCACACGATAATCTCCGAGTACGGGACCGAAGATAAGGATCTCCTGAAGCAGAAACTGTTCGAGATGAGAATCCTGGATAACATCGAGTTGCCCGATTCAGTCACAAAGATTCTTGCAGCGTCGGAAAGTCTGAAACTTGATGATTCCAGTGAAGAACCATCATCATCGTCATCACCATCATCATCAGAAGAAGAAGAACAAGAATAAGAATCTGAAGAAGCATCGGCTATGAAGAAGGAGGATTGGTTTGAGCCAAACCCGAAGCTTTCCAAACTGGTTCGGATGGCGAATCTTTGTGTAGCGGGTGGATTCGCAGTCAATGGAGTTGCAACGATTCACAGCGAGATTGTGAAAAACGAGGTCTTCAAAGAGTTTTACAAGGTAAGCAAAAAACGATCCAAGAAATTCAGATCAATCGGATAAAACCCGAGCTACGAATTTAATCCAGTTTCTACGTTTCCAGCTATGGCCAGAGAAGTTTCAGAACAAAACAAATGGAGTGACGCCGAGAAGATGGATAAGGTTATGCAATCCCAGCCTGTCAGATAATCTCCAAGGTTCTTGGAACTGAAGATTGGGTTGTGAAAACTGAGTTATTGTCCAAACTTCGAAAGGTAAACCCTGTCGATTGAATCAAAGAAAAGAAAGAAGAAACTTTTTAGGGTTCTTAGAATAGTGATCATTGATCTGATGGGTTGGATCTATCTGCAGTTTGCTAACAACGCAGAACTTCAATCTGAATGGAGAGAAGTGAAAAGACGAAACAAGATCAGAGTTGCAGAATTTCTGAAAGAGAAAACAGGCTATACAGTAAACCCTGATGCAATGTTCGATGTGCAGGTGTTGTTTCTTGTCTTCCAAGTTATCTCCAGAGCCGAAAAACCCTAGTTTCGTAGGTTAAACACTTTTTTTCTTTTGAATTTCCAGATCAAAAGAATCCATGAATACAAAAGGCAGCTTCTGAACATCTTGGGGATTGTATATCGGTACAAGAAAATGAAAGAGATGAAACTGAGTGAGAGGGAATCGAGATTCGTTCCTCGGGTTTGCATCTTCGGAGGCAAAGCCTTTTCCACTTATGTACAAGCCAAGAGGATCGTCAAGTTCATCACTGATGTCGGAGCAACCATCAACAATGATCCCGACATTGGAGATCTTCTCAAGGTGTGTGTGTATTATATATGAGCTGCTGATACATTAGAGACAATGTACAGAACTCTGAACCAGACACATCTCTTTTGGTTCAGGTTTTGTTTTGTGAAGTCGGTATCGGAATCCTCACGGTTCTCTCCGACTCTCGTACGTGCGGGAATCGAAAGAACACAACGGATTTTTACGAGTTCGGTTACCGAGTTTCCTCGGGCCTACATCTCGGCCGGACGGTGCCGGCGAATCCACTAGAAGAACGAAGAGACAGCGGAGAAGAGAGAAACACGGCGGCCATCCACACCAAGGTTGGAGGCTCACCGAGAAACACAAGAAACAGGGTACGAGTCACTTACCGACCTACTCCGCGACTCACCTTTGTGACCGCCACCGGTCAGAAGCTTCTCCATCGCCGGGAAACTCTTCCTCCGTCGCGATCTTCCTCTCCTTCCCACGATCGCCTCTGCGATCGCCTTTTTCTCTCCACCTCGAGCACCGTGTCGCGCCTCTTGTCAAAGTGACGGAACCCCTTAGGGTTTCATTAACCCTTTGTCGAAAACGCTGCGTATCGGTCAAATGGGCCGTTCCTTTTTTCACCAACCGGGCCGCTGGGCCGAGCGGGCCCAACAATCTCCACCTTGGTGGAGAAAGGAACGAACACACATAATAAAAACAAACAATAATCACTAGTGGGATTCGCCGTTTCCAGCACCGATCGACTTTCGTCGATCCCTCGACTTTCGTCGGAATTTAAAGCGTAACTTACCTGACTTACCTCACTTACCTGATGTCGGAGTTAGTCGCATGTTGCTGCCTTTGAACTTGATGAAGCTCCCGTCGATGACTCCTCGTGGCCTTGTCGCCTTATCCGGCCACCGAACAGCTCATCCAAACCTGAAACACTCGGTAAACGTGTTAGAACGTTCACCCCGATAAGACTCGAACCGAAGTCTTATCCCGCGTCGCCCGACCGGCGAACGCTACCCTCGGTTGTATGACTCCCTAGACCGTCAACTAACCCTCCTAGTAAAGTCCAAGACTATACCCGCTAGCTAACCCGAGGATTATACCCGACGTCTACCCGTCTCCTAAGTCTATCCTGACTTTCCCCGAGACTACTCTGAGTCATACTACCGAAACCCGCTAGATACCTAGCCCGGATCCCCGTGAAGTCTACACTACCTATAGGTATACGACTTCTACCCTCGGACCCTAACCTGCCAACTAGAATTGTCCCACGGTTTTGTCCCATGAAGACGTTCCTAGTCCTCTAAGAATGCTCCACCGAGAATGAGACACATGAGTGCACGTGCTCCACCTCGAGAGGGAGTGTCCTAGCGCTCCAACCTACACCGACTCTACCCGGTGAAATCCCGACACCTCCCTGCTCACACCATCTCCTGAGCATCCTACCCGAGGAAGCTCCACCTAAATGTGGAGACCTCACCTCCTGACCTACCACCGAGAACCGAAGCATCTTCGGTTACTCCTCCGAGGTCAAAACGTCCTTCTACCTCGGACTCTCCCTACCTCGTCATCCGGGATCTACAAATCCTCCATGTAGTATCCCTACCTACCCGCGGAACCACTCACTCCACCTGGTCCTTGGCCTACTCCTGCAACCCGATTTCTCGGGTTTTGCCCGAGCCCCCTAGTCCTTCCACCATACCCCTTTCGGGGTATACCGAGCTAGAATGCTTAAACACGCTCTAACCCTAAGTCTATCGGTCCTAAACCTAGGTACGTGTCTACCTAATCAGACCTACAAGACCTAGAGAACACGACCTGACCGGACTTATCCTAGGCACTCAACCTAAACCGATCTAGCGGACCTTAAACCAAGTCTAACCGGACATCTCCCTAGGTACATCTTACCTAAACGGATCTAACACACTCTAGACCAGACCTGATTGGACTTAACACAAGGTATATTTCTACCTAACCGACCTCCTAGACTCTCGCACAAACCTGATTGGACTTACCCTAGGCATAATTTTGCCTAACCGACCTATTAGACTCGAAACACAGCCTACCTTAAGACCTGATTACGTCTAACCAGACCTAACTTAAGGCTACACAGACCTGATTACGTCTAATCAGACCTACAACACCGAGTCTACGTGGCCCCCAACAAAGTCCTAACCAGTCCTATGATCCCGAGTCTACCCGGTCCCTCACAAAGTACTAATCAGACCTACCCAAGTGATACCTAGACCCTAACAGCCCTAGTTAGATGACCAAAAGTCCCGACTAGACCACCACAACACCCTAATCAGACTTAAGCCAACCCTAATTGACCAACCCCTGATTAGATGACCATAAGTCCTAGTTAATCGCCTAAAAGTCCTAATCATCAAACCTAAGCCAACCCCTATTGACTTACCAATCCCTGATTAGACTTTTAGCAACCTAATCAGACCTAAAATAAGCCTAATAAGACCTACTTTACTTCTGATCAGATCCAATAAACGCCTAAAACCGATCCCTATAGACCTACCCTGATCTAAACCGACCCCTACAGACCTATACATAGTGATTCTAGAATTAACCAACCCCTAAACCAACCTGTTTTAGTCAAATCCCACCTAATCAGACCTAACCGGTCAATGTACCGGACTCTATGACTCAAACCTGGCACTTAGGAGTCCTATCTAGTCCTAAACTAGATAATACCTAAATCTACAATCAGATTCTAATCTGATCAGACCTAGACAATGTCTCTATAGACATTCTAAACCTCTAATCAGACCTAACCAAGCCTATTTTTAACCTAATTATCTGCTGATCAGATTTAAATTAAGCTAGACTAACCCAAATTTGGCTAAACCAGACCTAAACCAAGACCCAAACAGCACTTACAGATCTATACCGACCTAAACCAGTCAATCTCAGACCTATACCAGCCTATTTTAGTCTACCCAGACCTCTTACCCAGCTAAACGTCATCAAATCCAACCTATTCAGACCTTTACTGAACAGAAAAACAGGAATCTATGACTCACATCAGCTAAACCGAGATCTAAATAGGTCTATCCTTAGTATATTTCACTAAACCAAGCCAAATTTGGATACTAGACCGACCTAACAGGTAAACCGATCACTACAGACCCTAATCTACCCTAAACCAGTCCACTATGCCCTAAACCAGACACCATCATACCTAATTTGGACCATCTTAATCCTAAACCAGTTATACACTCCGGACCCTAAAACTGACTCAATCTAGTCCTAATTATACACTCCGGACCCTAAAACTGACTCAATCTAGTCCTAAACCACGAATTCAGATCCTAACCCGACCAATACCAGCCCTAACCAGATAAATCAGATCCTAAACAGACCTCTATTAGCCTAAAACGAATCTGATCTTACCTAATACCGGACCCAATTGACCTATACGGTCTAATTCTAGCCTAATTGGACGAACAGACCCTAACCTTAGACTTAAACCAGTCTAAACCGGCCTTAATTCACCTCCAATCAGACCCTATTGGTCTGAACCGAACAATTTTAGCCCTTCCCAGACAGATCAGACCTTAACCAAGACCTAAACCAGCCTAAACTAGTCTGAATTGCCCTAAACCGGACTCAATTGACCTAAACCGGACCTGAATTGACCTAAACCGGACTCAATTGTCCTAAACCGGACCTAGATTGACCTAAACCGGTCTAAAACCGGTCCAATTGACCCCAAACCGGACCTGAACCGGTCCGATTTGACCTAAACCGGTCAACTGTTGACCAAATTGGTCAATGGTTTGACCGAACCGGAGTGAACCGGTCTGAACCGGCCGGAACCGGATCTGAGCCGGACTGAACCGACCGGAATCCGGTCTGAACCGACGGAACCGGGTCAAGCCCGATCTGACCGCCGATAACCGGACTTGGATCGAATCGAACCAGGTTCGATTGACCCAAACCGGGTTAAACCGAAATTGGATCGATTAAACCGGTCTAAACCGGTTGAATCCGAAACCCTAATTTCGGAAACCCTAGCCGCCGAGTCTGCCGAGTTGACTCGGACGTTGACTCACCCGATCCCTCCACTCAGCCCTAACTCGGACGAGTTCAGACCGAGTTTCGCCGGAATCGGACTTTCTCCGCCGAGTTCCACCGAGTTTCCTTTGAAACTCGGACTCAAATCGAAGAAAAAATGCGGAAAATAAAGAATCGAGTCGAGAAACATACCTGACTCGCCTGGTCGAGAACCTGTCTTCACCGAGTTTCGATCTCAGACGCTCCACCTCGACGGATCTGGCCACCGGCGACTCCGAGACTCTCAGATCTGCCCCCACCGTCGCCGATCCGCCTCCGTCTTTGACTGAAACACTAAACGGAGCATCAAATCGCTCACACAGACAGATCGAACCAAAGAACCGTAACTTACCTCGCCTTTTCCGGCGACCTTACCTCCCTGGATCGGAACCGGAGCTCTGATACCACTCTGTGAAGTCGGTATCGGAATCCTCACGGTTCTCTCCGACTCTCGTACGTGCGGGAATCGAAAGAACACAACGGATTTTTACGAGTTCGGTTACCGAGTTTCCTCGGGCCTACATCTCGGCCGGACGGTGCCGGCGAATCCACTAGAAGAACGAAGAGACAGCGGAGAAGAGAGAAACACGGCGGCCATCCACACCAAGGTTGGAGGCTCACCGAGAAACACAAGAAACAGGGTACGAGTCACTTACCGACCTACTCCGCGACTCACCTTTGTGACCGCCACCGGTCAGAAGCTTCTCCATCGCCGGGAAACTCTTCCTCCGTCGCGATCTTCCTCTCCTTCCCACGATCGCCTCTGCGATCGCCTTTTTCTCTCCACCTCGAGTACCGTGTCGCGCCTCTTGTCAAAGTGACGGAACCCCTTAGGGTTTCATTAACCCTTTGTCGAAAACGCTGCGTATCGGTCAAATGGGCCGTTCCTTTTTTCACCAACCGGGCCGCTGGGCCGAGCGGGCCCAACATGTTTGTTCCAGATTACAATGTCAGTGTTGCAGAGTTACTCATTCCGGGCAGCGAGCTTTCGCAACACATAAGGTAAGCTCCCTTTCCCAGAACATTGCAGAACACGAATTTTTCGATATGTTCGTGTGACAATCACATTCGTTTTTGTCGATCTAGCACGGCGGGAATGGAGGCGAGTGGAACGAGCAACATGAAATTTGCGATGAATGGATGTATTCTCATCGGAACACTGGATGGAGCCAACGTAGAGATTCGGGAAGAAGTAGGAGAAGAGAACTTCTTTCTGTTCGGAGCTCGGGCCGATGAAACTGCAGGACTGAGAAAAGAACGAGCGGAAGGAAAGGTTAATAACGAAACAACAATTAATTCCTACGATATTAAGACTTTATCTGCCACATTACGTGACAGTGTTCTCCCTGGAACAGTTTGTTCCAGATCCAAGATTCCAGGAAGTGAAGGAGTTTGTTCGGACAGGAGTGTTCGGACCGTGCAACTACGAAGAGCTGATGGGATCCTTGGAGGGGAACGAAGGGTACGGACGAGCAGACTATTTCCTTGTCGGAAAAGACTTCCCGAGTTACATAGAATGCCAAGAAAAGGTCGATGAAGCCTACCGTGACCAAAAGGTATAAACCACTCTTGCCCAGTTCGGTTTAGTTCCAGTTCTTGTTCCATGATTAAGAGAAGAAGAAGAAACCAGCAGAGAAAGTGATAGACTTTAACATTCGGAGCAGTCGAAATTTAGTTTTTTTTTCCGTGGGTTTTCGGTATAATGTCTGATGATGTATACATATGTATATATATGCATGATGCAGAGATGGAAGAGGATGTCGATTTTGAACACAGCAGGATCTTTCAAGTTCAGCAGTGACAGGACAATCCATGAATATGCCAAAGACATTTGGAGAATCGACCCGGTTCTGTTGCCATAACCGGTTTCTATCTATATTCTCTACTTTTTCTCTACATATATGTATGTATGTATGTATGTATGTATGTACATACGTATTGATCTAATGACACCACCACCATGAGAATCTTAATCATCTTCAGGAGGAACAGTGTTGAGATCGAGTAAAGAGTCTTCCTCCTTGATTGCAACTTCGGCATCCCCACTCTCTCTGCGATCTAACCTTATCTCATCTGTCAAATCTTGTTCTTCTCTCTGCCCTTTCGAGTTCGATACCTTGGTCGATTCTCTGTCCTCTACGAAATCATCCTCAGGAATCGGGAAGTTAAGGTCCAATGGGAATTTCAGCTTACTTGGATCTCCAGTTCGACCCTCAAGATTCCGTCTTTCTTCCTCATTTTTCAACCTCTCGTCATCAGAAGCATCGGGGCTGTGTAGAAACCAGAATCTGTCGTAGTTCTTTCTGGGCACTCCCTTTGATCTCTTTCCTCTGACGGGACCAGAGAGTCGAAACGCGAAGAGATCTTCGGTTTCCGGGCTCTTCTTCTTGGAATGGATACGGCGGTGAAGAGCGAGGCCGGTGCGAGAATAGACCACTCGGTTACATTCTGTACAGATGAGGAACTGCATCGGATCGATCTTAACTTCAGCCACGAGCACTCTTCTTCTGTTTTGGCTTCCGAGTACAATGGCGTTCACACTTTGGAATGACTCTCTCCCTAATGGAATTTGCTTGTCTTCATCTTCCTCATCCACTGGCACTGGTTCAAATCTTCAACCCGATTTTTCGGAACACCCAGAGAGAGAAAACATACAGAAATCAAGAATCAAAACCAAAAAGTGTTTCCTTTGCGAAAGATCGGGCGGGCGGAGCAGCAAGAAAGCCGGAGAAGGAATTCAGAAATTTTGGGGAAATGGGTTTATAACTCTCTCTCTCTCTCTATATATATATATGTGTGTGTTTATAAGTCTCTCTCTCTATGTATGTCTACAACTCTCTCTGTTTTTGGACGAGTACAAAGTGAGGATGCATGGGATTGGACGGCCAAGATCCTCTCTAGAGAGAGCTATACACAAGTACGTACCGTTAGAAATTAACCGAAGAACACATGCATTTTATTTTTCTGTTCTTTCATTTTTGGAAAAAAAAATAAAAAAGGATGAAAATAAATAAACGAGAGAATATTTTGTGAAGAGAGAAACAATATTTTGTTTTTTTAACTGATGTTACTCTTCGTGACCAATTTTCTTATTTAAAAAGGATTTTTGTAATAGAAATATAATCAACTAAATCAATATATACGCAACAACTTCGATCTCCCTAAAGACTCGAGCATTATTCAACAACCAAAAATAAAATCAATTTTGCAGAAAAACAAAAATAAAATTGATCCAAACCGGAACAAGATTACACATCAACATTCACCCCCTTAATCTGTCTACAGCAAAGTAGCCTCCTCTTCAACCTCTTCGACCAGATGAGCTGTGTCGTCTCTCTCTTCTCTTGTTTTGCAATCAGAGGCGAAATGACCATATTTATAACATGCATAACACATGATCTTATTTATATCGAACCTTGGTCTCTCACCTCCTTGACCATGACCTCGTCCAAACGAACGACCTCTACCACGACCTCTTCTCCAATCACCTTGAGCGAGGAGAACGTGTTCATCAACTCTCGATTCACGATCCCTTAACCGTTCCTCATGCGCCTTAAGTGATCCGGTAATTTCCTCGATAGACTTGGTCGTCAAATCTCCAAACTCCTCAATAGTTGATGCCAATTGGATGTATTTCGTAGAAACTGATCTAAACATTTTTTTAACAACGTACCATTCGTTGACATTTTCTCCCAAAGCTTTTAATTTGTTAATTATCGTTGATACTCTTCCGGTGAACTCATCCACCGACTCGCTCTCTTCCATTTTGAGTCCTTCGAGCTCCCATCGTAGTGACTGTGCTTTGACCTCCTTTACTTTATCTGCACCATGATTTAAAATATTTAAGGCATCTCATGCTTCTTTTGCCGTTCTTTTTACTCCTATCTGTAACAGGGTCTCCTCACTTATGCTCTGACAGATTGTTGCACGAGCCATCTTATCTTTGCTCTTATCGACAGATCCCTCTAACTCGATCGCATCCCAAACATCTTGTGCCTGCATATAAATTTCCATTTTCATAGCCCATACCGTGTAATTTGTCTTTGTCAGGAGTGGGTATTAAAGAGACACGCTTCCTTCCTTTATCTTCGTTGTCTCAACACCTTCACTTTGAATACCCTTGCCACTTCGATCGACACTTCGAATGGCACTTCCCGACGACTCTTCCATTGACATAGATTTCGACATGAACTATGAAAGAAAAAACAACCAGACTCTGATACCACTGTTAGAAATTAATCGAAGAACACATGCATTTTATTTTTCTGTTTTTTCATTTTTGGAAAAAAAATAAAAAAGGATGAAAATAAATGAACGAGAGAATATTTTGTGGAGTAAGAGAGAGAAACAATATATATTTTTTTTTAACTGATGTTACTCTTCGTGAGCAATTTTCTTATTTAAAAAGGATTTTTGTAACAGAAATACAATCAATTAAATCAATAAATATGCAACAACTTCGATCTCCCTAAAGACTCGAGCATTATTCAACAACCAAAAATAAAATCAATTTTGCAGAAAAACAAAAATAAAATTGACCCAAACCGGAACAAGATTACACGTCAACACGTACACCGCGAGAATCTCTTTTTATTACAGCCGGGATTATGGTTTTCACAAAATTTTCTACCTTTTTTTTTACAGCGGAGTCAAAAAAACACAAAGGCTTGGCTTAGATTTACAGACTTGCGCTTTACACAGAAGAGAAGTGAAAAACGCCATGAAGAAGACCGACCCTTCTCCTCATTCACCTTCCCAGTTGGTCTTGGCCTATCTCGAGGTTGGTAGAAGATCAATGCCCTTGCTCAATGGGACTGACGCTCTAGCCTCGCTGAACACAATTGGTTGACGACCAGATCAAATCTATGGCGCCAACATTGGCTTATACATACATGACCCATATCCTCTCCCATGCTTTCATCATCATCATCATCATCATCATCCCTCTCCCTGGTATTGTTGCTCTCATCCTCATTTTCTCCTTCATGCAAGAAACTTTTCTCAGGTTCTACCCCGGTATGTTGTAGAGAAGGGGATGCCATTGCCATGGAAGAGTCCCTTTCCTCACCTGATATGCTGCAGAAAAGGGGATGTCATTGTCCTGGAAGAGGCCCTTTCCTCATCCGGAGCTTGACCTGCATAAAAAGTATCATAGTCTACTTGCCATTCATCATCATCATTGTCAATGTCCAGGCTTTCAAACCGATTCTGGGCAGCTCGTCTTTGCAGGACGAAGACGTTTAAATAATAGCTCGCGAGTTCCTTTACGGTTCGTGAAGGAAATGCAGCAACCTCTAGGCGCTTCCAAACATTCCAAGTTCCAACCCAGTGAAACTGGATTGGAGTAAACAACCTCATGAAAGAGATCCTGCTTCTACCCTGTCCACTTGCAGGCAACTACTTCCTCTCCCATTTCACCGAAACCTAACTTCACTAATCTTTCATACCCGATATTTTCAGTAAAATCTTCCCTGGCTTCCATTATTTGTTGTCTCACACACCTGACTGAGCCCTTGTCCCAGCAGAGGCCATCCTTTCTTCCTTTATCGGTTGTTTTCCACTCCTCAATCCCTGCTATATCAGGGTCATCGGGAGCCGAAATTATGCACCTTCCCATCAGTCTTTCTTCATCTTCAGCAATACTGATCTCCCGAGCTGTACCCAACTGCTCCAGAAGCTCGTCCTCGACAGGCCTCATCAATTCAGGATATCGCCTGATAATTAGACCCAATCGGGGCTTGCTTCCTAGGAGAGTGATCCAGCAAACAGGAACAAACATCCTCCACAGGGGAGAGTGGTCTCCAAGGCAAACCCGACTCAGGCGATTCATGAGAAAGAGAAGTCTGCATCGTTGCACCAGACCCATCATCCTCTTAGCACGAACCAGTCTCCACTACATGAGTGGCATCTTCATTCCAAGTATCACCTTCTATCTCATCCTCACAATCAAACGTGGTTAAGTCAGTAATATGCTCTCCAGTCCTGCCAATAACACAACAATGCAAAGACAAACCGCGGTCAGCATGCCTACTACATTGTTTCGGGTAAAAACCGGAAACAGAGAAGCGATCCATGTGTAAGCATTGCACGTTGCATCTTACCGGTGACATGGAACTACTACATCAAACTGGGAGATAACTTGGAAGATAAATTCTTCAACCTCCTCAGCACCAAAAGGGCGCAGCGCTTCAA